AAAAAAAAGCCTCATTGAAGTGTTATGCTGCTTACAAGAAGTTTACTGAATTGAAGTCAGTCTGTGTAAAATAGTGTTGAAGCTAACCCACATAAAGGATAGGGAGATGTTTCATGTTTGGGATGTGGTCAGTGTTCCTGTAGGCATACTGCACTGTTCGTTACTTTAAAAATTGTGTCTTGATTACTGAAAAAAGAAATCAAATAAATAAATCAGTGTAATTCCTTTCAGATGCTCTTGGCAGATTTTTTTTCTTTCTATTTTTCAAACAGGTCCTGTATCTTTATAGTTAATCACTTTTTTTCTCTGGTTGAAAAACACTTTGAACAATTTATTTTCACATACACATGCTATTCATACCAGACAATCTTAAGAGACGTATTTTGACATTAAATACCAGCTCTCTTAAAGCTGGTGTTCTGCTTCTAAACAAATCTCTAATGGATTCAGTTAATTATAGTTTTTTGCTCAATAATTTATATTTCGTATATGAACGTTTGGCAAAATGTTACCTAATGAAAAGTGGAGCAGCTTTAGAAATGTAATAACCTAATAAATATCTCTGGCTTACTGGAAAAAAAAAAAAGTCCATGTGAAACTGTAAGTAAATATGTTTTACATGCAGAAAAGAATGAAAAATTGCAAAACCTTAATTCAAAGAATTTAGATGTTTCACTAATAAAAATGACTTCATTTGGTGCATTGGTTCAATTTAGTGATGTTGTCAAGGTGGTAGAATTATGACATTCTACATCAAATACATCATGTCAGGAAAAATTACTTGCAAAGTCTGGAGCTGTGCGCTAATGGGGTCTTTCTCACTTAACTACCGAAAATCAAAGGAGCATGAACATTCAACACAAGGGGTCTGCACTTAGCCTGTGTGTTGCCATACCAGCTGAGAGGAGTGAGTAATGTTAATGGGGTATTTAGCTCCGTCACACTGGAGGGAAATAAAAATGTGGAAAAAAGGAGGGGGAGGTGGGGATGGGGACAGACAGAATGGGCTTAAAGCAGTCTGTGTATTTCCACTGACTTCCTAGAGATTTGAGTTCAGGCATATTGCTGGAGATGCCTGTTTTGCCCTTTGAAGATTTTAGTTTCAGTTTAGTGATTGTCTTTCTGAATGTTTGTCCATTCTTGAACTCTTTCCTTTCACTTCTTTGCCTCTGTTTCAACAGCTATTTGTATTCCTTAGGCATGGATTTTGTTTCAACATACTTGATTTTGTTTCATTAATTAGCCCTATTTGTTTGCACCTGTTTGGAAAAAAAAAAGTATTTTTATATTGTATACCTGTATAAACCTCTTTGGTTTTGAAGAGGTCAAAGTTAGATTCAGATGAAGGCTGAACTTCCAAGAGTGGCTGTTTTAAGAGACAGGTACTTCAAGGGGAAGAAGAGATCAGATACGTATGGGACTCCATTAACTTGATTTCAGGTCCTATTCACCCATCTTAACATTTAGGATTTACCTGTCCCTCTTCTTTAAAGCCTTTCAAAATGCTCTTTCTTACAGTATGTAACAGATGTTTCCCCTTCATTACTTCTCGTATTTGCATTGTATAAATATGGAATTATTTAGGGAAGAAATTAGGCTACAAAGTGAGAGAAAGCCAAGGTCTCCATTGTGCTTTGAGGGTCAAATAGTTTCCATCTCTATTCAGTACGGAGTGCTCTTCGTTTATCCTGTGTGGCTCATGTGAAAGGAAAACAGCAAACATAGATGTATGCCTCTGTGCATACATACTCGGAGAGGAGTGCTGCTTGTTGACAGGTGGTGTAACATGGAAGTGTGTTAGATCTGCTCCAAAGGTGTGTTGGATTTCAGGTGTAAGTTGCATTGCTGCTTCGACTAGCCACCAGCAGCAAAGGTGGTGGTGTGGTGCTTTTGCAGGTGAGAGGTGGTGCGTGTGGTGAGAACAGCCAGCCTGGTCGCCATCTAGTGCTGAGCTCCCAGCTCGCCCTGAGTCACTGCCTGCCTGCTTCCTCGGAATTTCTTTCCTTTTCTTGCTTAGCAATCTATTCCATCTGGATGTTTTTTCACAGCTAATAGTAGTTTTCTGGCAAAGATAGTAATTGTTGAATGACTTTTTTTTCCCCCCTTTAAATCCCAGAGAGCTAAGAAAACAGCTCTTCCCAGTGGGGAAAAAAATAAACATAGGGCTAGTTCAAATTTATAAAGGGAGGAACCTACCAACTCTGAAGGTTGTTTTCAGTGCAGAGCGCGCATAGTTTGGATTTTTGTAAAAGTTTTTTTTCATGGTGTGGTAGTTCAAGTAACAGCCAGATCACCTGCCTCTGTGCTAATTGTGACTAGAAATGGTAACATCTGCTGAATGAAATAAAAAAGAGGAGCAGTTTGTATGTATAGTTAGTACAGCAAAATATTGCTGTAGTTAGGAGGCCTAGTATTTGACATTTAGAGACTTTGTTTTAATTAATTTGATTTTTAATAGAGCTGTTTATGGGTTTAGTAGTACCGCATCCAGTTTATAATGTTGTAAAGACTTTGGGAGGTGTTGCCCATGTGTGAGGAATGAGCTTCCACAGCAGGTTGCTCCTCAGTTGTACATGTAGCAGTAATTTTAGTTGTCTCTTATGTACTTAATTCAGCAGTGCTGAAATTTTGAATTTGCCAGGAAACTGTGCAGGAGTCCAGTTCCAGTCAGCATAGCCCTGCATGTCCTATTTCATCGTTAAGTAGCCCAAACCGATGAGCCAGTGTCACCTCAGGTAATCAGCAGTGGGTCAGTTCTCAGTTTTCAGCATTCATTAACATGTTTCTGCATTCACCCTTCCATCTTACAGACAAATCTGTCTGAATCAACACTATTAAATCGGGTTGTGCTGTTAATTTAGGTTTGATGAGTAGCAGGGGAAATTAAATAGCATAGATATTTTTGTGCAGGTGCTCTAAGCATAGCTGGAGGACTCAGGGCCTAGAGACCTGCAGTGTTAGTGCACAGGCGTGTTCAGCTAGAAACTGTTCCTCAACACTGTCATGGATTTGGGAGGTCTCCATCGGGTGTGGTTCCTTAGCACCTAACACAAGGCAGATTTTTTTGAAGTGCAAAGCTATTTATCATTATATCATAGTACTTGCATATTTCATTTTTTTATTGTTGTTTCTCAATAAAACAGCAAGTGCTGTCTCTGGCTTTGTTACACACAATCTCATCAGCTGTAAATGCACGGATATAACCAGTTTTCTATATGCGTTACCAGAAGGAGCTTCATCTGTAGGAAAGATTTTCGTGGGCAGTTTACATGACCTTTGCTGGGATGGGTGAAGAGTGATGTGCTTCTGTCAGCCTGGTTACTGCCTGCTTTCTGGGGGCATGTAACCATGAGGCAATTCTGACGTGCTGGTTGATGTCATAGATGCGTGGAGTTCAGTCTTCTTTTCAGCTGTTAAAGGGATGTCTTTTCAATTCTAATGTTAAAAATATTGAAATAAAAGTGATACTGAGGCAACTCATGAACTGACTTCAGACTGATGTGCACTTAAGTTTTCAAAGTTTATGAGCGGTCTGGCCTCCACACATAGGGACTGTCCTTGAGTGCCCAGCTGGTGCATTTTAAATCAATAGTCATTATACTACTGACCCACTTCTGATTGCTATCTGAAATTAGCTAATGCTTTATATCATTCACCTGCAGCAGGTTCTTTTAGCTTGATCCATATGTTTTCATCATGCTGGTTATGATTTATATTGTAGTTCTTTATTCTTGTAGGAAGGAAATTCATTGGATCATATTTCTCATGGTCTTTTTGCATAGATGTTAGGTTCAGTTTAGTACAGTGGATCTCTGCATGAGTCTGTATATCGAATAATAGCAGCATTATTGCCCTGCATTTGTATCGAAACAGAGAAAGGGCTTCAGTTGCTACAAAGCTTTGATGCCAAATTTGGCCTTGATCTGCTAAGGTAATACTCTCTGCTCAAGTGCCAGCATTGTGTTTTGAGTAGCCTTTTCTGTATTTCTAGACTTCCTTCTGTTACTGCCTTGGTTTTGTTAACTATTAGAAATGTCTCTCTTGTCTCATGGTGATCCAGATGTGTAGTTGGTTCACTGGACTTGGTACAGTCTGTCCATGGCTTTCCTGTACTGGGGAGCCAGAAATTGACACTGCACTCCAGATGCCGCTCACCAGGGCTGAAGAGAGGGAAAGGATCACCTTCCCTGCTATTCCTAGTGCAGCCCCAATGTAATGATACGATGGTATAATTAGCATAAAAGTATAAATTACATAAATGTAGAAGTGTGAAGTAGAAGTATAAAACATACAGAGGTACCGATGTAAGGGTCAGCTGTGAAATGGGTAGAGTTGACAGCAGTATAATCTAATTTGCTAATGAAAAACATAACCATATCCTAGACATCTTGAATTAGTTGGACTTCATAGTCCTCGTGGCTGAGGATGGTGAGGACCCCTTCCCCCTGAGATGGAAGGATATTTTTCTGGGTATGCACTTGCAGAAAGAAACAATTGCTAAGGGATCCAATCTCTAAGTTTGACTATAGTCAGGTAATTAACTTGTCTGAAGAAGTTAACAACCATCAGCCGGGACACTGGCTAGTACGCCAGCTGTCACCCTGATCAAAGAGAGGAATCACAGGACTTAGTCGTGTTTGACCTGTCAGTTTGTAAGATACTCTAGGTTAGTATTCTAATGGCAACTATATCCACCTCATTGCAGTACTTTGAGGTCTATTGGACTGATATGATGTACTTTAAAGAAGTCCTGTTACTTGCTGTTTTTGAGCAATGTCACCAAAACTAAACATCAGAGTCTGGTTTTGCATGTGCGTGCGCAGATCCCTTGCGCTGTTTCGTTACAGCACAGGATGGGGGAGCAGCTTTGGTAGGGAGATGCTCTCTGCAGAGTTGTACATCCCCTCGTGTTCATATGGATGGTAGGAAATAGACTAGGAAAGGACTGCATTACTTCTGGGGAACTGCGAAATCAACTGCTTACTTTTTTTCTCCCACAGTTTATTTCTCTGTAGCTGTGTTACAAGCAAGCGCCAGTATCATCTGTTCCTGGTAGGAAACCTCCATGCTCATCTGTACCCTTGGCACCTGGCAAAGTTGCAGCTGAGGAGGAATCCTGTGAGGAGGAATCAACAGAAAAGATCTAATTCATGTTTAAAGGTAAACTTTGACCAGTAATGAATAACAAGCTTGGAAGTAAGGCCCATGCTTTTGCCTAAGTATGTATCATTTAACTTGATCCTGTTTGCTTTGCACTATTTCCACAGCAATGCAGGCAGAGTAGAAGTACAGAGATACCTTTAGCATAACTTGGTTTTGAATGTCAGTTGTCTTACTAGCATGCCTAGTGCCAGCTGCTCTTGAAGCACCCGCTTTAATTTTTATTTGTTATTTGGAGAAAACATTGCCTAGAAGGTTCACTTTTTTCAGGAAAAAAAAAAAAGCAAGTACAAGTTCCAATAGGGTAGATGTTTCTGTTAGCCCTGGATTTGGCGACTAAGCCTCCCATGCCAACATTGTGTTACGTTTCACTTGAGGCAAGAAATTATCTGCTTCCTGATGGGTCTGAAGGTGGTTCTGAGCACCCTGGTAAGTAAGATTGCCCCTGCCAGGCTGTTTGTAAACACAGGAGAAAATTGCACAGTAACTACAGTATTGGTTGTCAATAAAGCAAAATTACTAAGTTACAGAAACATCACCTCGTTCTCTCTCCTCTTCCTTCCAAAACCAACTGTCTAATTGGATGGAAAGTGTTTGCAGACAGGCACCACGGTGTGGCTGCTGGGCTCGGCTGTGCCCAGCCCTGGGTCGCTACTGCGCTGGCTCCAGCTGGCTGTGTGTGGCCCAGGGCAGCCCCTCTCTCCTCACAGAGCCCCTGTAGCCCCCCGGCACGGTGATGCACTGGTGCTGTGCTGATTTTTGCAGCAAGCTGCTAAAGCAGTGCATCACTTGGCCTTGGGGCTTGTTGCTTGGACAAGGAAGCAGGAAAATGTGGTTTTTTTTTTTTAGCTTGTGATTGAACTGGTATTACACAGCAACTGCTTCAGAACTTCAGAGAGCCCTGGATAGATGGGTGGGTCGGGGCTGGCATTTGGTAGAAATATTGGGTAAAAGCAGTAAAGACCTTTGTGTACCCTAACTGCATTAACTAGCGCTCTAATTGCATCGATCAGGAAAAGAAGAGTGAAATCCTGCCAGGCCTTTCCTTTCTGCCTCTCCTAGCAAGGCCTCTGTTGGACCAAGAGTTTATAGTGCTTTATTTGTTGCAGATTCTCTTTGTGGAGATGATTTCTCCATTGAAGATTCAGCTATAGAGATACTGCACTAGAGGAGGCTAGATGTATACCTGATCCTCAGCTGTGGTGTTAGCTGTGCTCTGTAGAACTGTTGGCCTGAAAATTATCTGAATGAGCTTTATTAGCTTGAGGAAGGCTGCTTACCTGTGATTGACTCTGTATGACAATCAAATAGTTTGTACTTGGCACCTTTATACATGTACACTTAAGCTTTTCTTTTTAAAAAACAATGTACAGCATATTCCAAAACAGTTATTTTGTGGGGGTCTTGCTGAGATTTACTAGGGCCAGGGGGAATCCAGCACAAAAGTGGAAAGGTACTGACAGGTCATGGTTTGTACAGGCTGGGTCTTAGCCTGGTGCAGAGTTGATTATGATGATTCAGGAATTCTGCAAAAAGTCACACTGTTGTTTTTCCCAGAAAGTGACAGGAGCTCAGTCTCATAGTACCTTTGGAGAGGGCTTCGATCTGTCAGTCTGGGCAGAACCATTTGACTTGCACTGGTGAACAGGAGCATAACCATTGGATTAGGAGCAGCTTTCTCTTACTGTGGTTGTCATTATATTATATGGAAAAGGTGCTGCTGATGCGCTTTCTAAGAGAGGTTTTTAAGAAGTGCTCTGAAATGAAAGCTGCTGCAGAAGCTGAAAAATGTTGTTTTCTGATGCTATGTGAGAAAGAGAGCATTACTTCGGAAGAAACAGGAGAAAAAGTGAATTCCTTATCCAAAAGTACAAAGTGGGTGTGGTGGGTTGACCCAGCCAGCAGCTAAGCACTAACTAAACGCTTCAGCTTAGTCTGTGTGGTTTCTCACAATACAACAGGATCCATTGGTTATGAGCATATTGTTTCTTTTTTTCTGACAACTTATTGTACAGTGAGTCCTCTTCAGCATGAGTCACCTCTTTGGGTGATGCTCTAAAATCTCTGCCTTGTGGCTGTGGGCAGGTGCAGGCACACAGGTTCAGGGAGGAAGACTTTCTGTTTGACTGGCGCTGGCAGGCCAGCCTCGTGCACCAAGGTGGAACCTCGGTGTCTGCACTAGGGGCTGGCCAATGGTGTCAGTGTGTTCCATACAAACTTCTGTGACACTGGCTTCCTATGGATTCTTGGAGGACTGGTTGTTGCCCCAGTTGCTGTAAAGCACCTCCAGTGCTGTCAGTTGCCTCAGGTGCTGGATACCTTCCTCTGCTGTGGTCCACTTGACTTGCTAGTTGGCAAGGTCTTCCTTGAGAGGAGACTTTGCCTTCACACTCATCAGGAGCTGTCTGCAGAGACTGAGGATTGTTGTCCCTTTTCTGGTCCCGCTGCTGATTCCCCAGCCCTTAGATAGGATGCTGGCTGCTAATGGCCCTGTCATTCATGATTGGGCCTCGGTATCCCAGTGTCAGAGAAGCCAAGTGGTAATTCCCTCACCTGGATGACAGCTGTAACGTTTCTGCATAGTATGAGCATTCTGGTTACAGAGGGAAGTCTGAGAAACTGGAGGGCCATCGCAACAAGGCAGGAAACCCTGGAGGAGAAGGGGGAGTTGCCATCCATTTGCAGATTCCCCACAGAATGGCTCGTGGAGAAGAGCAGAAATGTGTAATTGTTAGTTGTCTCCATGAGATGGTTCCCTGAGTACTGGGATGGCAGCAATACAAGGGGCAAATACCAGATTAGACTCGAGGCCATTGCTTTTATTATAAGTCTCCTAGGTAAGGAAAAGAACGCAGCAAAGAGGAGAAGCAGGAAGCAGTCATTAAGAAGCCCTGGAGTTTAAGCCTGGCCAGCAACAGAGCACCCACCAGCTGCTCAGTCCCTAACCCCACAGCAGGATGGGGGAGAAAATTGGAAGAGCAAAAGTGAGGAAGAAGTCATGGATCAAGATAAAGGCAATTTAATTAAAATGAAGGAAAGAGGAGGTGGGGGGAAAGCAAGTAATGGAAAGACTGTCACTCGAAGCCTCCCACGAGCAGACCGATGCCTAGCCAGTCTCCAAGCAACAGCTACTTTGGAAAGAGTCTCCTCCACTTTTATCACTGAGCATGACATTTATGGGGTATGGAATATCCCTCTGGTCAGCTGGGGGCATCTGTCCTGGCTGCATACCCCCAGCCTCTGGGTGGGCAGGGTGGGAAACAGAGACGGCTGTGATGCCGTGTAAGAGCCGTTCAGCAATGCCCAGAACATTGCTATGCTATCGGCACCACGTTAGTCACAAATTTGGAAGTTAGTAAAGAAAATTAACTGCATCCAAGCCAGACACAATGCAATGGGGAAACTATACATTATGGAAGTGGTATTGACGAGACAAATAAAAGAACTGATAATGAACTCTGTTGTATGTATGTTAGTAAGTAAGGCAAAAAAGAGCTCTAAACTAGTCAAACATTTAAATGCTTGCTGAACTTCAGTGTATGAACAGTTCTGTCCTTACAGGCAATAATATGATCTCTGTGTTTTGAGTGAACCATGCCTATGCTTTGCCGGATTGGAGTCTTTGAGTTGCAGAATTACTTAGGAGCTGCACGTAAGAAAAAATAAAAATATGAAATGTTCAGAAACAGAAGAACATGCAGACAGTGCAAGTGATCAACAGCTCCTATGCTAAGGCAGAGATGAATGACAAGTACTGTTTATTTTAATGTAGTAACTTGAATGTTTTAGCATTTTTATTAGTTTTGTTTGGTGCAAAGAAGAAAAATGTCATTTACATCAATTTGGCATATATTCCCAAATTCTGTTTCTTTTTCTCCATGGCAGATGGATGCCTTCTAGCCAACCGGCGAGTCCTGCTGCTGCTGCGTGCCTGGCAGCATCCCTGGATGATCACATGACTCTTGATATGGATGCAGTCCTGTCAGACTTTGTTCGGTCCACAGGGGCAGAACCGGGTCTGGCAAGAGACTTACTGGAAGGTAAGCTTTCAGGACACAAATATTTCCTATCTTCACAGCCTTCTTAAAGCAAGAACCAGTAATAAAAAGAGAACTTGAGCCTCTAGAAACAGACGTTTCTTAGTATTTTGATTAGTTAAGCCAACTCTCCTAATAAGTTGAATATAGATTTTATCAGAGTGGGCGTTTTCACCAAAAGCCTTAACAAAATAAATTCTTTGTGTTATTTAAAAATATTAACAGTAATGTGTTAAATGAAGACATCCTACCCAGGGAATGCGGCTGTAGCTTAATTTTGTCATTTCCAGCTACCTAAAAGTACAGTAAATGTTTTGGCTCACTGGGCAAAGCAGCCAAGTTGAGTCTGAGATGGTCTTAGTGCAGAGTGAGAGAGGAACCAGAAGTGTTTTTGGGGCCCAGATTAATATGCATGCCTGTTTGGAACTGGTGTGGGAGTCAAATGGCTAGGTTGGAAAACATCTAAGAAGCTGTATCAGAAAAATAACTGAGTGTTCTTAGTAATGTTATTGTAGTTGGTATAAGTTTATAATTCTAAATGTGGAAAAATATCTTTGATTTTGGAGGCATTTTTAAATCATTTTTAAATGATTTTTTTTTCTTTTTTTTCCATTTCTTTTAATGTGAGCTAGCTAAAATTGTGAGGATGGGAAGTTAGAAATGACTTGGTGGTATCTGTGTCATGCAGTTCTGTGGGCTAGGTAGATGCACATTGGACTTTTTCTCTGAAAGATTTTTAACTTAGTATATTTCAAGAAATTTTATGCTAAATCAAAGTAATTACTGAACAACCACAGCAGACTTTGGGGGTAAACATTGGGGTATATATTTACTTTTTGCAAAAGCAGTTTCACTTTATAGTATTTATGCTAGAAGTTCTTTGTGGGGAACACCATGAAGTTTTTCTCAGCAGTATCACGACACATTGTCAGTTATTGGGCTGATAGAAAATTGCCAAAATTTGAAAAGCATTTCTATGTATTAGAGGTGATTCAGAAGTGTTACTTCTTTTCCTTGCTATAAAGGATAATGAGTCCAAATAAATACATAGTTGTATTTTTCTGTGTTGTACTTTCAATTTGTGGAGATTAATAAATTCACACCATGCACATTAACAAAGAAATAGCGAATGAGCAATTTAATTTTCTGAACAGGCTAATAGGCGTATGTATTTAGTGCCAATTATTTCCTCCTACACAGGAATATATCAAGGTAAAATGCTTTGCTGCTAGTTCTGGACAAGAATGTGCTCACAGGAACATTTTCTCACATGTAGTTATGGATGCATTTGGTGTAACAGCTGTTAACGCTGGCTATGTCTCATTCTGTGGGTCAATAATTTATCCAGTGGTTTCTCACTTGTCTAAAAAGGACACACAAGAGACTGCCATGCTGACACCACTGTTACTGTCCCAAGTAGCTGTCCTGGTGTGCAGGTGTTGCAGTGTGGAGTTAACAGCCTCTTGCTGGCATGCTGCTGTACTGTGGCTACTATGATATCATTAGAATCACTGAATCATATATTTTGCTAGAATCATATATTTTCCCCAGATAAAATGCAGATAATGTCACAGCCTTGTGTAGCTCAGTTTGTGGAGTGCTCATTGAGCTGTTAGGTTTGCATCTGATCTGGGGTGAGGAGGACTTCAAAGTCATGTCCAGGCAATGTTGCAGACCTTCCTTCCAGAGCTCTGAAATGCACACCTGTGTTCTCTGTGCTATGGACTCTCTGAGCAGTGCTGAAAGCCATGAAATAGCTTCGTAAAGATGAAAAATATTCAGAATGGCAACCTCACTTGTGATGGTGCACAAAGCTATTGCAAATGTCCTACGCCTGGTCTTGGAATTATGATGTCAGAAAACTAACTTCAATTAAGAATTTGAAAACAGGTGTACACATTTTTGAGAAGTTTCAAGATTTGCCTGTAATTTGCATTCCTCAGACATCTGTAATAGAGAACTTTAAGTGAAAAAAGATGATTTGTATAGACCTTCATTTCCATATAATCACAAGTTTTAGTAGGACCGCATAGCCCTTCCCTCTTCCTGATCTGCTCACAAATTCTCTTCTTACTACATGCTCAGGCTGAATGTTCAAATTGTGCTTCTTATGGAAGGTTCACTTCTTTTTCAGAGCCATTTCTAATAACATTTCCTTTCTTTGACTTTTGTGGAAATTTTTTTTGAATTCCATTATTGTGCAGACAATCTGGTATGATCCCTGCAGTTTATTTCTGTTGAGCTTTGCGTTGAGCACAGTTTGTTGTCTGACCAAAACATTCTGCTTGTTGTATTTGACACGCTCTCCATGAAGTGTCTATTCTTAATTTGAAATGAAGATTTAGAGAGATGAAAAAGATATTTTCAATCCTTCCATACTTTTATAAACTTTGACTTGGTTCTAATTTGTGTCTAGCTCTTTTTGCCAGCTATTAGTATCATAAAACAATAATAAAGGTGTAATTAAGTTTATTTTCTATCTAATTTTGATAAGCTAAACATGGATTTCCAAGTCTCACTTTCTGTTTCTGTATTTTCTCTGTCATGCAAAGCAATGTAGAAAAAAATGCTTTGGCTTTGTGGGTACATACCTTCCTAGTGTTACATAGAGAGCAAAGTTTGCCTTTTTGCAATTACATTACTTATGCTGCTGTTTGTATCTTTGGCTAAGTTTGCCTTGGGATTGCACGGGAAGCTTGTGGTCAGTCTGTGCCCACCATGACATTCTAAAGTTAGCAATTCCAGAATTCTGTGTACTTGCTTAACTTTTATGGAGTTCTCATTTCACAGACAAAAAATCAAAGTATGAGAACTTTGCCATGTGCATCTGAAAATAGCTTTAAAAAAGCCGCATTAAAATTAAAAAATGGGTTTGTTTTTCATAGTTCTGCCTAAGAAACTCTAATAGGTCACAGAGCTATATATTGTTATTAATTCAGTGTTTTTTTAAATTCAATTGTGTATAAATATTGAAAACAATAAGGCCTTTTTCCAAGTTCAATGTAACAGTGGCAAAGTTTATGACTTGATTCATTTGTAAATGCTGTAGCTTGACTATTCCAAAACACTTTGGTTTTCTAAAACTTTCTTGCAAACAGGTGAATTCTGCAGAAAGGGATCAGTAAAAGGTCATTAGATGTGGCTATCACCTGCAAACCAAAAATCTGTAGGAATCTCACAGTGTACTGGTTAAAAATAAGGAAACTGGACTGGCAAATACTTTCTGAGACTTTCCCAGGTTTGCATTAACTAGTTGTCCTTATGCCTCAGGAACTTTTACATCAAGCACTGCAGATCTGCATTGCTGCCATTCTTTTCAGAGGGTAAGGCTTGCAACAAGAGAAGGTGTTTTCAGCGTGTTTTCTGGACCAGATTACTTTCATCATTCTTTTCAGTTACAAGAACAGCTTTTTATCAACACTGGTAAAACTCTTAGCTACTATTATGGCTGAGTTACTAAAATCGGAAGCACTGTTCCGTCAGCTTGGTTATGATTACAAGACTTTGCAGTATTCCTCCTTGTTGTTTAGGACTCCGGGGGGGGGGATGCTTGCTTGACAGCAATTTGTACCTTCTTCTCTAGTCTTATAGAGACTTTGAAGTAAACACCCAATGGGAAATAACTTTTGAGAGCCTGGCCATCTACAGATAAGTGTCTTCAAATTCATGGCATTTCCAAGACATCATTAATCCTGATGTTTTTGTGTTAACAATTAAGAGACAAGTAAAGGATAATTAATGTATCCCTATGGAAATAGAAGGACACCTAAAAATATTTGCTGACTGTACCAGATAATAAATAACTGTGGCTTGAGGAGAATATATGAGCACCACATATGTCAGCAAATTACAGAGTAGGTAGAATGACTGTGACAGTTGCTTGGCTCTCTGAGTAGCATTTGACTCTGAGGACGTGGAAACTGGATCTGATATTAGACATTGAGATAGTTCAGGACTCAGGCTTGAAGCAGATCACTCTGTATCAAAAACATCTCCTAGGGACCTGAGGTTTTGTCTCTATTCTTTCAAAGACTATAGGAGTTGGGGGGGATGTCACAAACAAAAACTGATTTATTCAGCCAACCTGCCTGAAAATGTTCTGTGTAATTAAGACCTACACTGTCTTCATTAGATTTGTTAGTATTCTGTCCCCTCAATCTTCAGCACTTGGGAACTCTGCCTCTGTTGCTGTTTGGTTCTACCGGTCACCAATGCCACAATTTCAGGTCTCTGGTTTTGGTACTAACTTGCCTTTCCGCCACTGTATTTTTCAGTGCTTAGTGCTTGATCACCGAAAGCATGTACTGAGCCTGTAACTTCATTCAGAGGTATGCTCCTCGTGCACTGATGTACATCAGCATAAATGATTCTGCTTAAGCACTAGTAGTTGCATTCTGTGAGAATAATGATGCTCACTACTGACTTCAATAGCCACCTTTTTCTCTTAATGTGTCTGCTGCAGCATAGGGATGATCTATGAGGCGATTTACCTTAGATATAAGAACGGATTTTTAAAAACATAAAAAGTCTGTGGAAAAAAATGTATCATACTTCCTGTTTTCCTTTCTGATTTGAGTTGAAAAGAAAAGAAATCAATGATCTTTTACTTCCACTGTGCCGGGAGCATGCACTTGCCTTTTGCTGCTACATGTATGAAAACAAAAATAATTGGAGAAGTTTTCATGGCTGTCTGATCTAAAACTCTAATGCTGACCTTCTGTATTTTGACAGACCTTCTGTGTAGGTGTGGAGGAACTTGAAGATCACAAATAAATCAGTTATCATATAGTTAGCTTCCAGAAGCAGCAGGTGCACGGCAACGATCTCTTGATAACGTGGAGGACTCTTTAAGGGATAAGGGAAAAGGCATAGGAGGAAGTATGTTAAAATGCCAACAGTATAGACAACTATCAGGAACTGAGGGATTTGTGAAATTCAAATATAAAATAAGAAAGATACCAAACTGCATCGAAAATAGTATATTTAGCTAAAAAGCTGTGCTT